CAGGAACAGGAACGAGTGGACAGTGTCCAGGTGATACATAATCAGTATTCCACAACAACTTTAATATACTGAGGGAGTCCTGAAAATGAAAATGTAATTCACATGTTAATCAGGTCTAAGTCAGACTAAAATTCTTCTAGTAATTTTGTGTGTGACTTGTAGCAAAGAACTGAAGATACTGTTGGACCACAGGGTGGCTCATCATCGTCTTTAGACACTTATAGTTTTATTCTGTACATATCCAAATAATTTACCCAAAAAAGACATGCAGTAGGAAAGAGGTTTTTATAAGTCCACTGAAGGTCTGTTTTAAAATGGGCTGTCACAGATATTATTCAAACAGCAGATTTTTTTCCCTTTAGGCGAGGGGCGATGAGTTGTAGATGTGCTCCCATTTTGGCTAATAAATACATCAGAGTTGATCACCAGCTGTGAGATGAGCTTACAAAATGTTAGGCTGCAGAAAGATACACAGGAGGAATAAAAAAAGAGAACAAGAAACAAAAACAAACGTTTTGTCCATTTTATTTGTACAAAATTCATAAAGTATCGAAGCATATTTCCTTAATCTTGGATTAAAACTTTTCCCAACATTTTGGGCATTTCATGGCTTCCTTCTCAGATTTGTATAATTTACAGCACAATTTATCACTTAACCAGAGTGTTGAGTATCATTGAATGGAGAATGTTTGTAGCCATCTTCATTTACACCAAGTTTGTTCCAACTTAACAGTTTTATGAAAAAACAAAAGGATTTTAGTTTTATTTTAAACACCAGCACCAATGACACAAATACATTCAATATAGCACCTTTGACAACTGATTTGACAAAAAACATTTTAAAAGAATACAAAAAAAATACTTAGACTTGAAATATGCAGCTATAAGTCACTGTCATCACATGCCAATACTCAACCAGTAGAGCCATGTTAATTCAAACCCCCCATTAACACAGGGTTGTTTAAACAGTGGTGATTCCAAATGTCTTCAATAAATAAAAGGAGGAACAAACAATTGTATAGCTGTGGAAAGGTTTACAGTTCACTTTTAATTCCAACTGCAGAACTCAAAATTAGAGATTCAGCATTTGGATCAAATGCAAAAAATGAAAAATAAAAAAAGTCTGATTGTGGAGCATTTGTGTCAAAAAGCCTGTATTTCTGTTAAAGTTATTGATCTACACTAAAGGTTTTTAGTGCTTGGTTTCCATTGCATTTCTGCTAAGCTGCATTTTCCAACGTGAATTTAAAAAGCACACTTGGCATTCCTTTTCCTAAGAAGCAAATGGAAAATTTATCAGTTCAGATGTTACAACTGGATGCTCAGTTTTGTGATCAAATGAAGTGATCCCACTGATGGCAACATTAAAATAAGGTCTTTTTATCTTTACAGTACCATCTTCCACTAAGACATTTACTCAAAAATGGGTGAAAAGTCATAGTTTCTTTGTGTAGTCCGATTAGTCTTGTAAAGGACAGGAATCCAAAGGCCACAGAAGGATTGAGTTTTGTGTAAAGCAGTCTGTCAGATCAGTAGGGGTATTCTGAGATGGAGATATAGATGATGAAGATGCTCTGGTATGTAATACGACCCTGTAGTGAGATGGTGGTGGCCTGCACTTTGAGCCGTACAAGTCCTGGCCTCTCCAGAACTTGCAGGGTAAAGATTATCCCCCTGCCAGCCTCGTCTTTGATGCTGAACACCCGTCCTATCATGCCCGTTACTGGTTCTTGCTCAAGTATTGTGAAGGATGTACGCTTTTGCAGGACTCCTGTCTCAGAGAATGCAGATAGTCGTATCACGTTGTAGTTAGCTGGTATGCCAGAAGGAAGTGTGAGCAGCTTGTACTGCAGGACCAGAGGAGAGCCTCCGGTGGGACAGTCCTGGGAGCACTGCCTATAGCACGTCCTTTGGAGCAGAGCAGGAAAGAAAAAATATCAACTTCACAAAAAATACAAGCAGCCTTTGATCAATTACTGCTTCACTAATGTCTTTAAACTTTGTATAAGTAGACTTAAGTCATGTATTTTACCCAGGACTTCTTCCACTTTGGTAGGTTGCTGGACATGGTGTGTCTAGACACTGGTACCCTCCTCTGGTATTAAAGCACATCTGGTTGTGTTCACACTGAATTCCTTGCTCGACACACTCATCAATGTCTGTTGTTAAAGGGGGAAAAAAATCATCCGTAAACGGAGGATTAAAGTTGTATTATTCACAGACTGAGAGTTCTACCTTTGCAGCTTCTGCCGTTGGATAGTAGCTGGTATCCTGAGGGGCACAGACACTTAAAACTGCCAATGGTGTTTCTGCATTCATGTTGGCATGGCTTCCTGAGCAAACACTCATCCACATCTGTACAGGAAAATAATGCAGTAACATTCTACTGAGAACACATTCCGAAGCTTTAACTGAATTTGGATCAAAAACTCACCGACACACATGCCGTCTCTGTTGGTGTAGCCCACAGGACAGCTCTGTCTGGTAACCCGAGACGCTCCGCTGGAACGAGAGAGGATCGGCCTGCCGAGCGACGACACCAGCTGTGGGCGGAGTCTTGTCCTGACCCTAGTCCCATTGAAGAAGGTCTGCCCCCTCTCTAGCCCTGCGCAGGAGCGCCCGTCCCCAAGCAGCACCGTCCCCGGGGGGCACAGGCACCGGAAGCTGCCGGGCACATTACGGCACTGGTGAGCGCAGGGGTTTGGTGTTTGCTGACATTCATCAACATCTGAAATGTAAAATGAGATTCAGGTTACATGTTATGTGCGTTCCTATTTGCGAGATATTGAAGTGGTCTATAAAACAAACTAAACTGATCACCTACCCAAACATGGAAGTCCCACTCCCTGGGATCTGTACCCTCTGGGACAAACACAACCGTATCCTCCCACTGTGTTCTGACAGATCTGAGAGTAGCGACACAAGTGGCTGCCATCCTGGCACTCATCGATATCTAAAAAAATATAATGACAAAAATGACATTTCTTAAGAAATCTATTAATTTTAACATTGATTATATATTTCTTGTAGTGCTCATAATCATTATTCATTAAAAACTAAAATGTTTTACTTAAATTTTAGAAATTAGGTAATTTGTAAAAATAAGGCTATGATTTTAGTTCTGCTAGAAAAAAAATTGGTTCTAAAAACTATCTGGTAGGGGGAATTTCTTTTTCCTCTTCATAATTTTATCTTTGCATTAAAATTAAGTAACTTTTTGTTTAGATTAGATCAGTTTGCAAGACAGGCAGCAGCTTTGTCTTGTGCCCTAACAATCCTATATAACATATGAAATATTAGTGGTTAATAGCATCAGTCTTGTCACTGGTTATAGTATGTGAACAATTCAGCTCATTGACTAGCTGGGATAAACCAACCCTCCTCTCTTTCTTGATTTTTTTGCAGTAGTACATGTAGAATGGAAAGTTTTATGTTTCCTGTAATGCTAAATTAAACAAAGACTAAATATTGAAAGTGGATGAAAGTGGACTATGACGGTCACTGACCCACACAGGCTCCGTTCTCTCCTGTGGTCATTCCAGCTGGGCAACTGTCAAAACACTGGTATCCTCCATCTGTGTTGCGACACTGCTGGTGAGCAGGACATACGTTCCTCATGCACTCGTTGATGTCTGCGAAAGTGAAAACATTACAGCTGGGTTGTTAAAATAATAATAATTTTGAGGAGACAGTGCTGACTATCACTTATAAATTCTGCCCAGCATGTTTTAATGCCTAGTTTAATTTTTACCACAGTACTGTATAAATCTACTGTAGCAAGTACAATTTCCTGTGACTACTTTTAAACACAGTGCAACCTTTGAAATGTAAAAGAGCGAGCTGACTGACCGATGCAGCGATGCCCTGACAGCTGGTATCCAGGGTGGCAGATACAGCGGAAGGAACCGAGAGTGTTGAGACACTGATGCTGGCATGGAGAGATGGTAGACTCCTGGCACTCATCCACATCTGCAAGACAAATTTGGCACACAGGATGTCAGTAGTTTCTGTGCAAAACACTTGCCAGAATGGTGTGGTTAAATGAGAGATGTATTTTAATAGATTCCTTGTGATTTACCTTCACAACTGGTTCCTGTGATGCTGGGCTTAAACCCTGAGCCACACCTGGCCTGGCAGCGGTACGTACCCACTGTGTTTATACACTGCTGGTGGAAATGGCACATGTGGGAGCCTTGGGAGCATTCATCTATATCTGAACAGTACATGTAAAGTAATGCAGGAGTATGAGATTAAAGACAAAATGTGAAATATTAGTTTATATACGATTAATAGTATGGGTATGCTGATCCCAGTTTTTCTCAAACTGAGTTTGACTACATCAGTTGGAGTACTTACCGACACTGAGTACTTACTGACTTAGAACGTAGTGACTTTAAAAACACATTTATTTAGCACAAGGTATCACCTTCCTTTTAGACCTACAGCCAGTCTGACTGTATCTAATCAAGTATACAGCACGATGGTCCATGTACTTTTTGGTCATTCAGTTTTATATATATATATATACAGTATATATATATACAGCATTCTAGGACGAGAACAACTGGACATGAAGGCCTCCACCTCTGTTTAATGGTGGACAGGTTTTCTTCACAAAAATGGCTTCTTTACTCCTCTCTCAAACAAACGTTCCTCTATCAAGGATGAGAACATCTTCATCCCTGAAAGAGTGACCGCTGGCATGTAGATGAGTGTAAACTGCAGAGTCCTGACCCGACGAAGTAGCTCGTCTGTGCTTTCACTGAAGAAGAACCCATCCAGAGGACCTACTTATCTTTTCTTTTTGATTTTTTTCTTCCTGGATTACTGAGATGCATCAGGAAAAATATTATTTTTTTTATTTTATGTTCCAAAACGGAAAAACTGTCTGTAGTTTTTTTTTTTTTTTTTTTTTGTCAAACCGAAACCACACCACTGTCATCAAGACAACTTAGTGCTGACTTGTGGAACCCGCTGTGGTTCCAAGTTCCTCATCATGGACCTCTTGGAGAAAGGCTTAATGTGCTAAAATCTCCAAAAGCTCCAGGGAACCGTATGAATCATCAGTGATATATAAACAATCAGCTGACACCTGTCAAAGAAATGTAAAACTAGTCCGCTAGTGTTTTTTATTGCAATTGCCAGGTTAGATAGAGAGTAAAATGTGTTTGTTAATCCTATTATCAGACCATTTAAAGTAGAACATGTTCATTTTTTAAAGAAATTAGCTAAACTAGCTACACAATAGTAAACAATACAATATAAAATGAAAATAGAATAACCATGTTTTTTTTTCAGTATTTTTAAAATGAAAAAAACTTTTTTTGTTGTTTATGAGTATCTATTTTTAAAACGAAAACTGAATGACCAAAATGTACATGGACACACATGATATACTGTATACTGCTGCAAAATTTAAAAACCGATAAGAGATTCTTTCCACTTGTATATGTTTTTTAAACATGTAACTGACTACATTTTCACTTGAAATTTAAACTGTAACACATTTAATGAAGTATCAACACCAATATCCCACTCTCAGTACTGGTATTCATATCGGTTCAAGGTATCAGAGCATTTTGTATGAGTTCAAGTATTTGTAAAAATACTAGTGGTATAGGGCCCCTAATTAACAGCCACAAAAACCTTCAGTCAGTTATTTCATTGGCTCACCGTGGCATGTGTTGGTCTCTGTAGAAATGGAGAAGCCAGAGGGGCAGGCGCAGGTAAAGCCCCCCATGATGTTGTTACATGAATGAGAGCAGGGGGACTGCAGAGCACACTCATCTTCATCTAATAGAAACACATTTTATTATGGTAACAAATCAGTGGCACAGAGACAAGTATTCAAATAAAACAAATGAGGCATTAATGAGGAAAACAACATACCAGCACAGTAGGAGGTTGTGTCAAGAACAAAACCTTTTGGACACGTGTCTTCAAAACCATCTGCAGTCAGAATTCATCCACTGTTAGCTTTGGCAACAGTTAGAAATCCATTTAATAATGTTTGTGATGTTACTTGATGTTAAAGGTTCTGACCTGGTATGAGAAGAGCTGTGGTGATGTGGAAATCCAAAGTTAGCATAAACATGTTGTAGACACTATTCATCCTGGAGACTTTGAGCAGCTGGAGAACAGGTCCTTGACGCTCCTCCTGACCCTCATAAATAATGGTGTGGTTACAGCGCAGCACCATGGGCCTTCCTCCTCTCTGGTGGGTCTGTGATGACCATGAGTACAGCTGCCCTTGGCCGGTCTGAACGTATGACTCATCAAAATCCTGTGGGACAGAGGCAAAAAAAAAATCTGGTCAGATGGATTTGAAAAGTATCTGAAGCATGGCAGGATTAAATTCTCCAGAGTGATGTATCCAGAAGTCAAGATACTGTGTAACTGGAAGTCCTTAAACACACACTGTGGTCACTTCAGCAAACACACCTGGAGGCTGAGATGAGATGACAATAAGGATGGCGGTACAAATCCATTTATTACAATATCAATTAGCAGAACTCCCTCAGAATCCAGTCCTCTGGCAACGTGGGTCAAGCGAAGGGTTTCGCCTGTGAGAAGCAGTAATAAAACAAAAAAAAACACTGTGCAAAAGTGTACACAGTTTGGGTAGCGAGTGCTGCCACCTGCTGGCTATTTTTTAATACTTTAAAAAAATCACTACTGTTTTAAACACAAACTATAGTTTAAACAACATTTATATGAAGAGACAAATGATATATAAGGGAAAAAACATGACAAAGACAAATGAATAATTCACCAAGCAGTCTAATATTACTTTAAATAGATATATTAAATAAATCAGAGGTTTGAAATAATAAATGGTAAATACATAGAGCTCATGTTTATTAATGTGTAAAAATTGATGCGCCTTAAATCTTACCAGTCTCAAAGTCCAGCTGAGACTCCTGTCTGAACTGACCCTGCGTGAAGGAGAAGCCATTTCTGGTGGCTTCGCTCTGAAGCACAGTGGTCCAATAAATGGGAGTGAACACAGACACCAAAACCCGTAACAGGGGACCTGTAAGAGGAAATCATCAGCTCTTGGACTCTTACAGAACCATAGAGAGAAACTAGTGGACTGTCTTCATACCAGAATCACAGACGTGTGTATTATACAGCTTTACTATTTATTTGTCTGTTAAAGTCCACATCTTATGGATAACCTAAATCGACTGAAAAATTACTAACATAATTTTATTTCAAAACTTAGTTTATATTTAGGATAGAATTATGCTTCTGGTACAACTAAATCAGTATGGATTCCAGCATACCTTGAAGAAAATACGCCCTTGGAAAAAGTTTTTCAGTGTTTTCATCCTCAGACTCACCCACAGAGGGAGGCATGTTGTCCAGGTGTGCGTATAGAGTGCTGCTGCCCTCCTCTGTATTGTCTGTAATATTGGCTTCCAGGTAGGAAACACCAAACTCTCTCTCATTCACCATCCCTATCAGGCTGCCTCTGGTCTTACGTGGAACGTCACCTGTCACAAACAGAAAAAAAATAACCATCAAAAATTTCAAATGATTTTCAAACTACTATTTCAATGGGTAGAAAAAAAGTGGAAATAAGTCCTACCTGGACACAAACCAGCCTGACATTTTCTGGAGTCAATACTTGGACCACTGCAGGAGCGTCCACCATTTGCTGGTTTTGGATTGTTGCAGGACCTGATTCGTTCTTGAAAACCTGGTCCACACGTGCTGCTACATGGACCCCACTCCTCCCAGGTAGAGTAACCCCCATTAACTAAGACAAGGACAAAGGGGTTGGTTGAGAGAAAGAACTGAGAACTGTCGTCAAATGAAAACAAAACACAACAATTAATAATGTATGTTACAGTTCATCATTTCATTTAAGTGTCATACCAGCAGAACTCACTCTGAACCTTGAGATTAATGGTCCTCTCAGCTGTTCCAGCCTCACTTTTAGCCACACACTGATACTCTCCTTCATCCTGAGCCTGTAGATCAGAACATAGCTGTAATGCTATGATAAACCTTCAGGGCAAACCCCCTCTTTCAACCACCTTTTTTTCTTAACAAAGAAAGAAAACACCAAAGAAAAAAGTTGACATTTTCCATGCGACTGCTTATTTGGTTCTATTGAAACTGTCATGATAGACATGATTCAGCCAGAAAGGGTAAATTTAACTTTAGAGGGCTCTGTGGGAAGGACAGTCATCCATCTGTGAGAAAGCCTCAGCTGCAGGCTGTGCAATTACAGCAGCAGATACAGAGCCTAACGAGGTTACAGGCGAAGGAGGGAGAGGCTGAGAACACGCAGCTCTGCTCTGTTCTCCTCTCTGTTGCTAATGCTGATAGCCTCTGTGGCTGAACTGAATCTGATTTGGGTGGAGGCATGACAGTGCAGGACAGTCACGCATTATTTCTCTATTCAAGGTGACAGCAGATCAAGCTGGGGAAAGCATAAAATAACCAGCTTCATTGTTCTCCACAACATGAACGATTTGCTGCAGTTTAAGCAGTGTGATGAAGGAAACATATTTACAGTGATGCTGTAAATGACCAAGGATCCGTTGTGGAGGGTTTGCATGCGAAGAAGGCGCTGTAAGGGTTTCCCGTCTCTGAGCCAGTGCAGAACGGGGCTGGGGTCCCCGTGGACGGGACAGTCGAGCATTGCAGAGCCACCCTGGATGACCGTCTGAGACGTGTGGGCTTCACCCTTCAACACTGGAGGCTCTGGAGGTCCACAAGATATAGATTTATTGATTTATAGTATGATATGAATAAATGAGATGTGGCATCTCGTTATGAGTAAATAAAAGGAAATCCTATAGAAAAAAAGCTCACCTCTGATCCGAACAAAGGAGAGCGCCCGAATGGAGCCCACACTGTTTTCTGCTAGGCACACGTAGGTCCCAGCGTCACTCACAGTTACATTCTCAATGATGACTGAGCTCCTGCCTGCTTCATCTACAGCTGCTCCTGGAACAGTTTCATTCAATGCTGTCAGCTGGATCAGTGTACAATATGCAGTTTTATTTAGAAATACTGTCAAAATTAAAATGTTAAAAAGAAAATGTGCTGTACAGGCTCTGAGCTGGAAATACTGGAACACAATACCTTTAAAGGGTCTGTTATTGACAGTCCAGGCGATGGAGGGAGGAGGAGTTCCCTGAGCGTGGCAGGATAAGGCCAGGCTCTGCCCTTTGTTAAGGGTTACATCACCCGGCAGCTCTTTGAAGGCAGGCCTTGTGTTGATTGACAGGCGGACGTCTCGCCTCACAGAACCTGCGGGGTTTGTGGCTACACACGTGAAAACACCGGCATCTCCTGTCTGTGTGAAGAAACGTAGAACTTGTCAAAATTGATTCCCCCAGCAAACAACTTAACATCAGATGTGGTTCTGATAAATAATACAGAGAATATATCGACTGACCTCAGCTCTCTCTATAATCAACTCCCCGGATCGCAGGACTGAGAATTTGCCGGGGAAGTTGGGCACGAGGACGCCGTCTTTCTCCCATGACACTCTGGGTTCTGGGGAACCCTGGGCTGCGCAAGGCAGAAGTGCCTGAAAACCCTGGATGACTGACAGCTCCGTCTGTGCAGGGGGGATCATGGGTGGCACTGAAAGGCAAACAAAAACAAATCGGCTACATGAATTTGTAATTGTGCCAACACAACGTGAAGTGGAGTTAAAGCCTTCTATCACCTTGAACAAGCAGTCTCATATCATGGCTGGTTCTTCCCGCCACGTTTTTGGCTGTACACGTGTAAAGTCCTGTGTCGCTGCGCTGCGTAGAAGTGATAGTCAGAGTTCCGTTGGCAAAGAGACGTATACGAGCCCCATCAATCAATGGCCTTCTATCTTTATGCCAAGTAACTTCAGGTTGTGGCTGCCCATCAGCCACGCACTCCAGACTGACTGGCTGACCTAAGACAGCAGTGTACTCAACACGAGGCACACTCAACACAGGTGGAACTGGGAAAAAAAAATAAACACAGTTGGTGAGCTAAATATCAATTTGGGAACTGTTTATTGAAATAATGGAATACTGGAATATTTATTTGCACTGGGGAAGTACAGTAAAACTACAAGAAATAACAAGTCACTACTTCCATCTGTGAAATCAAAAATCAACTTTACCTTGAAGGACTAGTTTGGTTTTTGCTACAGTCACACCGGCCTCATTCTTCGCCAGGCACTGGTAGGTTCCTGCATCGCCGAGTGTTACGCGCGAGAACTTCAGAGCTCCGTTTGAGAGCACGGCCAGCCGGTGACCTGCAGCTGTCACATGATCAGACAGTGAGAACTAATGGGTGCTTATTTCATGAAACCTGCTTCAGCATGACACATTTTTATGACAGTGACAGACACTGCTGTCAAACAATACATCAGAATTTTTTTTTTTTTTCAGAAAAATGGGTGTAGTGCATGATACCTGCTGCTATTGGAATTCCCTCTCTCTGCCAGGTGATTGATGGTCTTGGGAAGCCTTGGACCTCACAGGGAAGCACAGTTCCATGATGCAACACTACTTGTACTTCCTCTGCCATCGGTCTGATCTCTGGTGGCTCTTCATTGCCAAAACAAACGCATGATTTGGGGTTGCACACTTACAGTGTATCATGTTTGCACCCTGACCGACAGTGGGTCCTATAGAACCTACCTTGTACTGTGACGGAGATGTGTTTGTGAGCCACTCCGGCTGGGTTACGAGCTGAGCATGTGTATCTGCCAGCATGACTCGGCAAAGCAGCCGTGATCTCCAGCACCCCTGTATTCCAAATGTCCAAAAACAGCTTAACAACACTTACAGTGTGAGGAGCTATAAAACCTGAACCCATCCTTAGATTAACCATCTTACCAGTAGGAAGAACACGATAACTCCCTCCTCTCGTGCTCAGCTTAGCTCCATTTTTGGTCCAAGTGATGGTGGGCTGAGGGCGTCCGTGTACGTGACAAGGCAGCACGGCAGAGGACATTTTCACAGCTTTAACTGCTGTGACATCATCCTCAATAGAAGGCGGCACTACAGAAGAACAAACCAATATTAGATTTCAGACAACTGAATTGCATTTTGCGTCCTGGTTATGGTGCATAACTCCAAATCATTACCTTGCAGGATAACTTCGATTACCCTGCGCTCCTCTCCAGCATCATTGACTGCCGTGCATTCAAAATAGCCTTCATCCTCAGTGGATGGAGACAAAAGAACAAGAGACCCCGAAGATAATAACCTGGATGAGTGACCAAGGAGAATGAGCTTCAGTATTTATAGCTGTGTGAGTTGTACTGTGGATTTATTGTGTATTTAAAAAGAGTACAGCCACATTTTTTTTACCTGTACGCACTAGCAGGCTGGCTTATATCAACTGGGGTTCCATTCCTCTTCCAGGATACTTTAGGTGTGGGTGCACCTGTTGTCTCACAGCTCAACACAGCTCTAAGTCCAGTGGTTGCTGTCACATTGAATGGACCTGGACCAATCGAAGGGGCCACTAATAAATAAAAAAAAAGAGCATTAGAATAACCTACGGGTTCAGCACAGTTCAAGTAGTTTACATTTAAGCTTGAAGCTTGAAAGTACAAGAAAACACATCCTTCAATTTTATATATTATAAAAGTAGCATATTCTCAACAAAACATTATGCTGTTTTTACCAAACACATGAAGCTCCAACCCTCTGTGATCGGAGCCAGCCTGGTTGGACACGGTGCAGTAGTAACGACCCGCATCATTCAGCTGAGTCTTGTGAATCTGCAAGGAGCCCTCTGACAACCTTGTGTACCTGAAGTTAAAAGGTAAACAATTATTATGCTTAACTTGTGTATATAATATAATATAATATAATATATATATATATATATATATATATATATATACACATATATGTATATATAAATAATCGGCAAGTATAAAGCATGCTATGAAAGATGTCTTACAATTATCTTAGAACATACTTATTATTATTTCTAGGCAGAGGGAAGCCATCTTTCCTCCACATGACTGTGGGTGAGGCGTCGCCTTCAACTTCACAGGGTAAAACTGCATCCTGACCAACATGAACAGTTACTGTGGAGGTACTCTCCTTTATGACTGGTGGCACTGGAAATACAACAGCAAACTTGTTTTATAACCCAGGTTTTGCAGTCAAAACTGTTTTCACAATCTTTTGTTCTGTAATCCAAAAGTATTCATGTTGTCTCATAACTTGAATCATTTGCAGAAATTCAACTATACAGGTTCGTTCTTAGGTTCTTTGTTTGGCAAAACAACCCCAGTTTTTTCACGTCATGGACCCAAACAGGTTATTATCAAAAAATGATTAGGTAGTTAATTACTTGTAGCTCATTTTAAACTTCATATTTGACACTTACATGAAAGTAAGATATAGCATTATTTAGGCTTAAATAATACATACTGAATTGATTTAAAATAAAAACTGTGTTAAAACAAAGTTACAAAACACAAAGTATGTTTCCTCCCCTCCTGCCTTACAACCACAAAATAAAACCCGCCCAATATTTTTTAGATGACAGTGGCTTTCTTTTAACTTTTATTTCTTCACTCTATAATCATCCACTCTTTATAAAATTTCCTTTTAAATACGAACCAGATGCATCAGAAAATAAAACAAAAAAACCATCACAGATCTTCTCAAATGCACAATTTGAGAACAATTTAAGTTATAATGGGCAAAAACAATTCACACTTCAGTTACTTTTAATTGTTTTAAACATCTAGTCTTGAATTTCTACTTACAGAGAATCTCCACTGTGAAGAAGAGATTTGTGCTTCCAGCCATGTTAGTAACCACGCAGCTGTACTGGCCGCTGTCCTCAGGCTGGACTTCCTGGATCTCCAGGTACTGACCTCCCGCCAGTCGCTGGATACGCCCACCCAGCTAATTTAACAGGAGAGGAGGAAAACACAATGTGTGGGTCACAGGAGCTCGATATTTGTAGAAGAGTTAGCGCAGTGTCTTTTTTGTACCTGCAGTTTGGCCTTATCCTTGTACCACTCTATATCAGGAGGGGGGTCACTGTCAGCCAAGCACTCTAATGTCAGGTGTCCATTAACTGGCACAGTCACTGTTTTCACATCACCAGAGCCGAACAATGTTGGCGGCACTGAAATACAAACACAGATTATTGAGCTCACTGAAACAAATCAGTCAAAGCATCCATAATAATTTATGACAAAAAAAAATCATAAAAGAGACAGATTATGGCATATTTAAAGAATAAGTGTTCACATTAAATAAATGCAAGCTTAGCTTTCTAATCAGTGCAGAAACAGATAAGATGTGCTGAAAGAATGAGTCTGCTGGTTAGTAATAAAGCAAAGAAGCTGGATAATTGTGTTTTTGGCAGCTTCGCTAAAAGCATTAATCTTTGCAGTTTATAGTTCTGAACATTACGTGTAATCCCATTTATAAAAGCATCATTTATTGTTGTACAAGAATTAAATTGAATTAATGGACACTGCTTAGAGTATAATAAATCCAGGCTGGGTAATTAATCATATGTGAATATTCTCCGAGTCTGTTGCATTCTGCAGCAACACAGATAAATGTTGTAAATGTCTGTTTTAAAAGAGATTCTTCCCAATGTGGACAAATCTGTATTCACTGAGTCCCAGGTGCAAGTAAATAAGGAGCTTAAGGAAAAGGGAGGACGTGATATTTATTTTCAGAGTTGACGACTCCGAAGAGAACAGCTGTGTCACCTTGGACTCGAACCCAGTGGCTTTTTCCATCCTCTCCAGCGAGGCTGCTGGCCAAGCAGGTGTACAGACCCGCATCGTCCACCTTCAAACAGAGGGAATTAATCAGTTCTGTTTTATCCTGGAATGATGCTGCCAAAGCTCTGACCTCTAGTTACCATCAAAATGTTTACTTATTGAGATGTTCTAACATTACATTATTTATTTAGCTATTTTTTCCTCTAAAAAAAGGAATTCAAATTTTAACAACTTATTTTACAGAACTGTTTTTCAGATGAAGGACTTTTATTTTTTTAAGGACAAACTCATTCCACAGTTCTAAAATTCTACCAAGTTTTATTTTACAATTATTTTCACTGTAGTTAATTGTTTATGTGCCCACTCAGTTAAGCTGTAATGTACCTGAACTTTACTGATCCGAACAAATTGTCCATCCTGCTGAATTATAGCCGTTCCCTCCAGTGGCTGACCATCCTTGAGCCAGCTGAGGGTGGGAGGAGGGACCCCCACAGCGGAGCACTCCAGCTCAAGTGGGCTGTTTATTGCTATGGTCAGCTCTTCAGGAGAGCCGGGGCGGGATATCTTCGGAGGAACTACATCAGGCAGCAGAATGTTTCCGCTCAGTATTTAATGAGTTTACATCGTGACTTTTGGACGGAGAGACGTTCAAATAAACAGTTTTTTACCAAACACGGTGAGGTTAAAGCTCTTAGTGCTGCTTCCAGCCTGGTTACTGGCCACGCAGCTGTAGAGGCCTTCGTCCGAAGGAGCCACGTCTGGCAGTTGCAGCCGCGTCTCCTCGCCATCCAGCAACAGGTTGCGATGAAGAGACAGCGGCTGGCCATCCTTCATCCAGGTCAGTGTGGGAGGAGGAACGCCGCGCGCCTCACAGGTTAACGTCACCAAAGATCCCTGGACGACTGTAACTGGTTCCACCGGTTCCACATTATCCACACCAGGGGGCACTGCAGGCCAAAAACACACGCACTTACTGAAATCTTTGCTGCCTTTTGAAGAGGAAAAAGTGGTTTGGTTTGATTTTTACCTTGAACCTGCACATCGTAGTTGAGCTCAGCCAAACCAGCCTGACTCCGCGCTACACATGTGTAAACTCCAGAATCAGAGAGTTGCACAGGAGCAATCCTACGTTTTAAAGATTAGAAAGACATTATCTACAGAATGTGATTTGTTTAAAAGATGGCTGCAGTGATTTAAACTGACCTGAGTAAAGAGTCACCAGAGAGGAGGCGTGTGCGAGAGGACAGGAGCAGAGGATGGCCATTCTTCAGCCAGCTGATCTGAGGTGGAGGGCTCCCTGCTGTGTGACACTCCAGAGTCACCACGTTGTCCTGTGTGGCCTGCACCTCCCTGGGGGTGGTGGTCTCGCCAGAGATAGAGGGTGGAACTGTGACGAAGCGAGGCGAGTTCAAATAAAGCACTCTTGAACTTAAATCAAGGTAAAATGTTGAACACTAACCTAAAACAACAAGGGTGTAGATTTTGCTTTCCTGTCCAGCTGGGTTGACAGCCAAGCAGGTGTATGTCCCAGAATCCTGAGGACCGAGCCTCGTTAGAGTCAGTGTGCTTCCGTCTGAGGTCACACTGTAGGGATTTAAACACGCTTAATGTTTTAAACATTATTTTCTGTCTAAACCCACCACCACCTGTGAAGCTGAGAATCGTCTTCTCATCATCCCACGATTTTCACACAAACACAGATTTGTTTTCTCTGGCTGATGAAGCTGTGATGACTGTATCCAAACACAAACAGCTGTAAAGCAGCTGCTCTTGGTAGTCCACAGATAATGCAAGAGACTATAAATCATTTTATCGGTATGCTCATTACCCTCCGTGATGATTAGTAGTGTAATTTTACAAAACTTCAGAGAATGCTAATTGATCCTTTATACAGTGTGTATAATAAACCAAGCTTCTTCTGAGAGCAAAATGAAAATGATTATTACTCTAATTGCTTTAAACTCTTGATCCAGACTTACGAGATGCGATGCATGTCCGATCCCTCCAAAGACACTCCATCTTTCAGCCAGCTGAGGCGGGGCACAGGGATTCCGTTTGCTCTGCACTCCAGGTTCAGCTCCTCTCCCATGGGTCCACTTACATCCGATGTTTGGCCAGAGTTCAGGATGGTGGGCGGCACTGGGAGCCACAAAGATTCATTCTTCTATAGGATTTGTGTAGACAAAGTTTAACGGATGAGGAGACAGGTCTTTACCTTGCACCACGAGGGTGTAGTCCTTCTGTGTTTGTCCCTCGCTGTTCTTGGCCACACATGTGTATGTCCCAGCATGGGACAAACCGAGAGGCCCCAGCTCCAGCCTGTTCCCTCGGACAGACCACTGCCACTGCAAACTGCTCTCTGGGGAAGGACATCTGCCTCTTTTACCTATCGTCCATGACACAACCCAACTTTTACAATTTCCTACAACACTGCCTTCCACTTACCTATAGGAGTTCCATCTTTGAGCCAGGTAATGCTGGGGACAGGTACTCCTGTGGCCTCGCACACTAGAGCCACATGGGTACCCAGGGTGTAATTTAGAATCTCCCTCAGAGGCCCATCAAGCTTTGGTAGAACTGTGAGAATATGTCTGCTATAAGCCCAAACAACTATTCATGGATGGTTCTTTAGAATGTTAACATGCACGGCAGAGGTAGTCATACCATGAATCATCAGCCTGAATGTCCTGTCCACCTGTCCAGCCACATTGGACACTTTGCAAGTGTATGTGCCACCATCTGTTGTCTATTAACCAGAGAGAAAAGGCTGTGGTGATGTAGCCAAACCATGGTGTCATTCAGATAAATAATTATGACACACATGCCATAAATTTAAATGTGCACATGTCTGACAGTAAACACTGACAATCTGTTTAAAAAGATGTTGCTGAAAGCCAATAGAGAGATAAACAACATATTTTGTTGTGTTTGCTGTGGGACACGAGGATGAAGTAATGAATTTATCCCGACCTGAATGCCCATGATCTCCAGCTGGTGGCGATCTATCCTCAGCCTGTTCCCTGAAGCCAGTTGCAGCCCATTCTTGTACCATGTGACCTCTGGCTCAGGAACACCTTGGGCTTCACAACTCAAGATGACGGATTTACCAACATGAGGGGTCACTGTGTCTGTGTCAACGTCATGCCGGGGCTTCAGGGAGGGTGGGACTGTTGAACAAACACACACACACACACACAAAAAAAGTTTGATTCCTTCAGAATCTGTATGAGTCACTCCTGAACTGTCCTCAATCCCAGCTGGGTTAAAATAAACATCTATTACATGAACAAAGTTTTTCAGATTTGATCATGTGTATATGAAACTGAGTTGTGCAGATGGGTCACCATGGATTTGCTTACCGTAAACACTAAGAAGAATGCTCTTCTGGTCCTGCCCTGCTGAGTTGCTAACTGTGCACACATATTGCCCCGCGTCTTCCAGTCCTGCCCGAGGCAGCTGTAACATCTGGCCACCTTTAATACGAGGTATATATATGTGAAATGCAATATCAGTGTCAGAATTAGATTTTAGGAAAGTAAATGCAACTGATGACTAAATTATTTGGGTATTGCGGTTGACCAGTGACTGACCCGGCAGGATGTGGATGGAGGTGCTGAAATGGAGGAGCTGCCCATCTCTGGTCCATATGATCTCTGGGGGAGGGTACGCTTGGACATCACACAGCAGTGACACCATGTGACCCTCAATGACACTCACCTCCTCCTCCTTTGGTCCAGTTATTCTAGGAGGCACTGAAGAATATAGTTTGGGAGGACTCAAGTCAGTGCATCTTTTATCATTAGAGAGTATTTGATTATATTTACAAGAAGTGGTTCCTTACCTTGGACCATCAAACTGAAATGCTTCTCAACAGTTCCAACCTTATTCTCAGCTACACAAGAATACCCAGCCATGTCTGAAACCTGGATATTGAGCAGCTGAGGATTTGGAATAAAGTGTTATTTCTCCACCCAGAATGTCCTGGGAGGATCTGATTACTCGCTGGTAAAACTCCTGAAGGGATCGGCAGCTAACCTGAAGTCGTGCCCCATCCTCACCGATGCGGTGCTGTGAGTCAGTGTGCACCAGCTGACCGTCTCTCAGCCAGGAGATGACCGGAGCCGGGTGTCCAGTCACGTCACAGTGCAGAACCACAGTGCTGTTGACCACTGCTCCCATCTCCTCCATGAACTCCTCGGATGCTCCCAAAACAACAGGAGGAACTAAACAGGTGAAAAACAGAATAAATATGTTTCTTCACTATTGTTCATGAATAAATACAGCACATGTTTGCTTACTGAGGATCTCCAGTTCAAAATGCATGTGGTCCTCTCCTGCTTCATTCACAGCCTGGCATGTATACCTCCCAGCATCCTCCTGCTGCACCCGAGGGATCTGTAGCACCTGTCCTACTGGCAGAATAAAACCACAAACACGTGGCTGCATCATGATCCGTAAATATGATACAGATGAGCCAAGCTACTGGTTTCAGGTCGAGCCTCAAGGAGTTTCTCCTGACCTGGAAGAAGAGCCACTCCATCAGCAGAGGTTAGTTTTTGTCCGTCCTTGTACCAGCTGAGTTTTGGCGGAGGAATTGCGTTGCTCTCGCAGGACAAGCTGACCGAATGACCGAGGACAACCTCTCGCTTTTCCACCATGTCTTCATTGTCCCCCTCATGTCCCTGACCCCAGGATGCTTCCCTGTTTGTCATGCGTTGGAAGATTGGTGGAACTAGAAAAAAATACGATTCTGATCACTTTCTACCAATCCAGAAAGTTTTTTTAAATCTTTAAAATATCTTATCACAACAACATAATTGTAATGTTCAGAACTAAATAAACACACCTTGAATCGTAATGTGAAAATCTCTCTTGTCCTCTCCTGCAGAGTTGGTGACTACACAAGTGTACTGTCCCTCATGGGACAGCAAAGCATTCTCTATGTGGAGGAGGTGGCCATTCTCCTGAATGTCAGCCGGGTAACTTCCAGTCAACAACTAATCACAGAAAATATTTCAAAATTTGGTGAAATGCCTTTTTATGTATTTTCCAAACACATAGCTCAGTTCTCTACCACAATCAAGTAACTTTGTTACCTTCAGTTGTTATCAAAAACAAATTTGACTTGATATAAATGTCTTGGAATTGGCCTCTGTCTCTTTAAGAACCTTCTACCATTTCAGACACTCCTACTTCAGCACATCCTTACAACAATGCTTTGGATGAGGGGTGCTCTGAGGAGGGGAAGTTTGGCAGCAGTCTAATGGTTCATTCCAGTAGCACTGGGAAGTGGAAATGTTCTTGCTCCCATTTGTAAATTTAAATTGGAATGCTCCCTCCAGCAGTAAATCCTAATCGAACTCTGAGAGTGACTGCGACTACCCCCAGTTTTGATTTCAAGATGGCAGCTCTCATAGCTTTAGAAAGTTAACTCCATACCTTTTATTGTTGTTGTTCTTAATGTTTTGTGCATATTTAATCACTCGTACAAGTAGTGCATTTTCTGTGCATAATGTACATATTAAAACCACTGTTTATTTGCATGAAATACATAGTAAAGCTCTCTTTTTGTCGTTGTTTATATTGTTGTAGTGTTGTAGCTAGGTTAGCGGCAGCAATACTGTCAGCTAACTGGAATGCTGTTTCATGCGGTTTGTTGGGAAATTACGTCACTACCACTTACCATTTACAAGATAGGATATAAATTGAATGCTTCATTTGTACCAGCAAGGCAGCTCCACATGGCTTCCACAAGAGAGTCAAGGATTTCATGCACGAGTGAGTCAAAGCAACACTCTGGGTATGTTTTCGATGACGGAATGACATAACATGATATAAAGTTCAAAAAAGTAAATTTTGCGTATTATAGTACAACAATCTAGGTAAAATTTGTCTGCCTTTTGCAAACATTTGTTATGGTATCATGTTCAATGTTTTTTTTTTTTACTCATCAGCCACATTCTTGAATGTAAGAAAAGGAAATCCATGCAAAATCAGATTCAAATGTGCCTAATTTGAGGTTTGTAATGTAATGTTGCATGCTCACAAATAGAACATCAAAATTTTAAATTACAAGTTGAGCAGAAAATAAACTATATTTTATTGTCACAGATGAGGCCTGTGATGTTTAATTACTGGATTTTTCTTGAATCTGTCTGCTACAATTAACGTGCTTACTCATCGCACAAAATCGGGAATGTGGGGGTGGTTTGTGCAAAGGGGTCTGCAGTTTGTAATTCATGCTGGTTGCCAGTAGAGGATGATAGAGGTAAGCTTTTGATTCATGAAAGTCACAGCTCAATCTTTGAGATTTAGACGCATGATTTATAACTGCAACACACCAACCTGTCCATCTTTGAACCAGTCAACTTTGGGCTCAGGGAAACCTTTGGCCAAACAAGACAAAGTCAAACTCCCATTAATTTTCACTTTCTCCTCATGACCAGCAAATGTGAAGGAGGAAGATTCTCCTTCTATCTGCGGTGGAACTGATGGGAAAGACATAAAAACAAAAAGTAGTGAAACATTAACAAAATTAGTTTCCAGCACTTTTACCCGAGAGTTGTACTGGATAGGTATTTACCCAGAACACTAAGAGAGTAGTGTTTGATGGCTGTGCCGGCTGGATTTGTTGCTCTGCATGTGTAAAGGCCACTGCTGTCTCCCTGTGCTGAGCCCAGCCGCAGAGCCTGCCCTCCGTTGGTGTATGTCAGCTGTGGAGTGGACACGAGGGGCTGGTTGTCCTTTAGCCACGTGATACTGGGTGTAGGTGAGCCCTCAGCATTACAGGGGAGGACTGAAGGGAAACCCAGCACCACTGACACCTCAGAGGTCTCGTTTACACCCTTGATTATGGGGGGAGCTAGAAAAGAGACAACATAATAATGTGTAATAGCCAGCAATTTTAGTGGCCTAAGGTACAGCGTGAATGAGTCCACAGTGGATTGACCTTTTTGTGCAGGAGAGTCTCTAAAACAGAAATGCATCAAGCACTACAGCAGTGAGCAATCAGAGCACACACTCCTGGTGTGACAGAAAGAGTTTCCTTTTTTTAAATATAATATAATGTCCAGATATTAATAACAAACTTTAATTAACTAACATAACATAACCTTCATCAGCACTATACTAGTGCCAAACATCTGCAGTAGTCGACACAAAAATGCTATCTTAAAGCGAAAGTTCAGATCTTTTGAAGTGTGGTTTTATGGAAAAAGTTCAAACAATCAATATCTTACCTGCTGTAGACAGCTGTTTGAACAACTTCAGTGAAAAGTAGTTTAATTCTGGATTGATAAGAGAACTGCTGGTCCAGGTGAGACCAAGACCAAAATGTATTGCTGCTATCTTAAAACAAGTCATTTTAAATCAATTGTGTCTTTTTTTCTTTTTCTTTTTTTTTTTTTTTTGCTTTACACAATTATTCTGGCAGAAATATAATACTCTTACAGGAAGTGCAGCAGGCTGCATCAGAAGTGCTGCAGCTGCCACAGTTTATGCTTTCAAACAACCACAGAAATAACTGTAATAATAAAAACTGATGACAATGTAAAGGTTTATAAAACAGTGTTACATGATGAACAATTGTGTTAGCTTGTCCATTAAGTCAAAATTAAACACTTTTTTCTCTAACCGAAGTTGTTCCAAAAGCCATATAAAACAAGAAAATGTGTTATTGTTTCTGAATTCTTCATAGAAAGCCTTTTAATAAAAACTAAACTACCCCTTCTTCACGCTTTCATTTATTTTATTTTGCTTAAATTAAATAAAGTTTCTCAGCCATATTATAGTAATTACACTGGTTTGGTGCGTGTGTGGTGGGGTATTGTAAGTAAACAAACAGTCGGCACCTTGAACTATAAGTCTGAACTGGCGCATCTGTGTTCCTGCACTGTTCCTGGCCAGACACTGGTAAAGCCCCTGGTCCCTCAGTCTTAATGACTTCACCCTCAACACCTGGCCATCCTCCAGAAACTCCACATGTGGGTCTCCATTACGGGACAGTACCCTGGAGGGTGAAGAAAGGAAGGAATGGATTACATGATCGTGTGTGTGTGTGTGTGTGTGTGTGTGTGTGTGTGTGTGTGTGTGTGTGTGTGTGTGTGTGTGTGTGTGTGT